GGGAGGAGGGGAGGGGAGGGGAGGGGAGGGGAGAAGGAATATTTACTCAGTGGTTAAGAACATAGACTACCCTTGAAAAGTATCCAGTTTCGAATCTAAATACTCATGTCAGGTGACTCACAACTGCCTATAAGTCCAGCTCCAGGAGAACTGAAATCCTCTTCTGGCCTTATACACAGTTATACACATATACAAAATTCAAAATTAAAAAATACTTTAAGAAAGATTGACTTCCTCACACTGCTTTATGCCATCCAGAGGGAGACCATTTGATTCTTCCGCTGAGGAAAACTAAGGACTCACAACTCATGACCAATGCTGGCAGTGGATAACGCCTTCCTCTAAAGTACCTGGGAATAGTAGAACATATTTTACAATTGTGTTGTAAACCTTGGTGTAAATTCTCAATATTGGCACAAAACTATTGTGCCAATGGACTCACTAGCAACTAATTCTTACATTCTTGTGACAGTCTGAATAGTAAAAATTTGTTGAAGCAAAACCCACAACTTTATAAGGAGGTTAAAGGGAAAAAAACCTCTATATCTAGATAGGGGTGGATAATTTGTAGCAAGAGTAAATATGTTAAAATTTTCCTATGCCATGCTAAGAAATGAACAGAAAATGTATGAAAACAGCCATAGCCTTATTAACATATAATTTAAGAAAACTCAACTAAGTGAGAGGCACAACTAAAGGGACACTTCTTAAAAAGAGGTCGGGGGATGGGGAGATGGCTCAGTGGTTAAGAGCACTTGGTACACAGTCCTGAGGACCAGGGTTCAGATCACAGCACCTGTGAAATAAACCAGCCATCCCTCAAACGCCAGAAGTCATCTCCTGACCTAACCATAACTGTGTGTACACAAGCATGCTTCCTCCCTCTGTCTCACGCATACGTAACTAAAACAAAGGAAACGACAGATTAAGTGGTTGATTCTGAAGAACCAGATGAGGGGTGGATAGATGCACCGGGAAACAGCTAGCTGCCTTCTGTTGTGGTAACAGTTTATCACAGTGTGACTGTTAAAACTAAGCATGCTGTACATTGATTAAGGTTTTTTGAACTAACATTGTGGACAGTTATCTCTCTCTCTCTCCCTCTCTCTCTCTCTCTCTCCCTCCCTCCCTCCCCCATCCCCTTAAATAGCAAAGAGGCAAGAGGAGAGATTATTGACCAACTACATTTTCCGCTATAGAAAGGACATCATCAGATGTACCGACAACACGGTAAAGACTCACTGTGGCTCATCTGTCTTGGTTTTCAGCTTTGTACAGTTTACAGTGTTGGGATTAGATTCCAGTCCTTGCCTGGGCTAGGCGAGTGCTGTGTCACTGGAACCATGTCCTCAGGCCTTGGTTTTCTCAGAGTTTTTCTGTGTAGTCAATCCTCGATCTAAACTCATGCATCTCCTGCCCTAGCCTCCAGAGTGCTGAATAAAAGGATGCCCCCACCCAGAGCCCCCAGATCTTTCGTTCTTCTTTAAATTGAAATATTGGTGCCTGCAAAGAGCACCATCTACTCAGTTTTCATGAAATCAACTGTTATTAAAGTTATCCTAACGATATTAGTGTTTAAAACTGTAGTCAGTGTATGCATGGAGGGAGAGAAGAAGGGGTGTGGTTTTTCACTACTGTGATATATACCTAAGAAACCCAACTTAATAAAGGAAAGGTTTTATCTCAGAGGTCTATGATTATCTGGCTTCCTCAGCACAGAGCAAAGAGCATGACTGAGGAAAGCATTTTATATCAGGGCTTCTAGAAGGCAAAGGAAAGGTTATGGGAAGAAGGAACCGGGACCAAGCGCATCCCCAGAAATCCGTGTCCTCCAACTGGGCCTCACTTTCCACAGTCCCACCGCCTCTCAGTACAAAGCTGGAATCCATCAGTGACTGCATTTGCTCACTGAGCATCCTCGTGATCTAGCCATCTCAGCACTGCCCTCCAAGACACACTCTGATGTGAGCCTTACACATTTCCTGGGTATCATAGTTCCCAATTCCATCAGATTAACAACCAAGATTAAGAAGGTAGAGCCTCTGGAACCAATTCAGGTATAATGGTAGAAAAATATTGAGCAATGAGGAGACCTAAACACTCTCCTTTATAGGATGGGGATTGGGTTGTGGTTTTTGAAGGTAAGTAGGGAAAGATTGAGGGAGACAGAACAAAACAGGAGCCAGTAAAGAATATTTCAAAAATATGTAATCTATAGTTTCATTACAAACTTTTTATGTGGAGTTGGTTACTTGAACATGGAATTATCCTGTTCCTTGATATATCCAGATATCAAACATGATTTTTGATATGCTGTGGGATGAAGAAATATGAAAAAGAACATTACAAGGAAGTGTAATACACACAAACCAGCGAACACATGCATACACATGCATACATGCACACACATGACATATATACATACATGCACACACATATGCACACATGCACACACAGAGACATGCACATATGTATGCATGCACTCAAGCACACAATGCCCATTCCTTTTTCTTAATAAGACACTCCTGCTGAGGGCGATACAATGAATAACGACCATGAGGTTGCTTTGTATCAGTACAATAATTAAGAACTCCACAGAGAATTCAGTAAGAAAAATTATTAAATAAATGATTCAGAACCAGGGTTAGTGAGAAGGATCAGTTGGAGGAGTGTCTTCTTGAAATGTGCTGCCCAGGCTAAACACTGCACAGACCATCCTGGTGGCCTTCAGTTGTGTGTCACTTGGGAGGTGGAGATGGGCACATTAGAGGTCCAGAGTCATCCTCCGATACACAGTGATTCCTGAGGCTAGCCTGCAATACTTGACACCCTGTCACAAAAGCAAGTAAACAATAGCTAAATACATAACTAAATAAATACCCACAGAGTAAATATTTTCTCCTTATAGGAAAATTAAGTTTTCTTTTAAAATCTCAGTGAATCCCTTCACCTTCTCCCCATGTGTGAGGCATAAAGGATAAAAGCACAATCCATTTTGTGAAGTTTTGTTAGTGTCTAGGATGTGTTACTTAAGGTCTGTGCACCACCTTACCAGATTCCACACATAAGTTTTCAGTAAGCAGCCTTTGGGATTTTCTGTGGGAGTGATGCCATGGTCAGCTGGTTGGCTCCAGAGTGAACACAGAACCAGGCTCTGGCTGTGGCCAGGTATCCTAATGCTGTCATTCTGGTCATTGACCCTAGGAGATAACTGTGGCTCTTATGTTTGGGCAGGAAAATATGAAGCGAGAAATAAAATATTTACGAGAACTTGAAAGTGAAAAAACACAAAAGCATTTTGAAATTCTAAAGAACTTAGAAAATGAAATCTATGTAAACGACCAAAAGTTGACCCTTCTCGTCCTGGAAAATGAAAAATTAAGAGAAGTAAGTTCAAGAGAACTTCATGTTTACTAATGGTTCTGATTGGTCACAGGGGCCAACAGTATGCACATGAGAAAAGAGGAGAATAACTCTTGAAATGAGCTTTAGAAAGTTCTAGTCTCCAGACACCTGCACAATTCTCCCTATAAGACTACCACCAACTTCTAACACTAGAGATCGGCTCGGTCCAGGTTCAAACATTGCCCGAGAAGAATGATGCTGTCTGTATACATGCTTTTGTTCAACTTCATGGCTCTGCGGTCCATCTCCATGTGGTGTTAGTTATGATCTTTCATTCTGTGTAGTAGTCTACCATATGACTATAGTACTTATTTAGACAGTGATATTAGTGGGATTTTGGAGAATTTCTTTTGGCTATAAATAACCAGCCCTGTTTCTAAGCATATTCAAATATAATTGTTTTGATAGACAGAGATATTTCTGTTGAGTATAGATCCTAACTGGACCTGCAAAGTCACTAGGTGTCAATTACATTGAATAAGAGTAAGATCATTGTGAAAATTCTTTGGTCAAATTATATAAGCTTTACTTTTTTTTTTGTCAGATAAGGTTATCTCTCCCTAGAGCAGGGTTTTAGAAATAGCATCAAACACATGAGAAGGTAGGATTTATATGGTTTTCTGTCAGACAGTGCTATCTCCATAAAGCAATACTTTCAAAGAGTTGAGGGATTTCCAGAGGAATTTTGGTCACATAGGAATGTAGCTGGAAACATTCCAAAATTATTTGGCAAAACATCTTATCACGGTATGTTCAAGATGGGAATCAAACTCCATAAGGTGAGAAGCATGCCAAATTCCAGAAACAGGTTAAAGTAAGCCAACTGAAATTTAGCAGAATACAGAAATGAACTTATTCTCACCTTAGAACAAAATGGCTTCCATCTCTGAGATGAGATCAGGCTGGTCCCTCACAGGGTGTGCATCTTCTGTACCAGTGCAGAGGGCCAGGCTCACAAAGTACACTGAATGCCCTTTCCACAAGCAGTGTGTGAGAATTCTGACAGTTGCAACCTCACCTGTGTCAATGTCACATTAAGGAATGAAAACATAGACTTCCTCTTGGATTGGTTTGACCAAGAACAAGCCCAAATTTGGATTCTGTATTGTTTTCTCCAATGTCTTCTGTCTGTCTGTAGCCTGTCTCTAGCCTGTCTAGTGTGTGTGTGTGTGTGTGTGTGTGTGTGTGTGTGTGTGTGTGTGTCCTATGTCCCTGTTGCTTGTTTGATCTGTGGCTGTGCCCATCTCTAACAAAGAGCTTACTCTATATTAAACAACACAGAAAACACAGTATGGAAAAGAGATGAAGAATTCTTTACAGAAATCTTCAAGAGAATTTTTACATGAGAAGAAATTGCTTTGTTGACCCCAACTGGCCCAGAGTCGCAGTCAAAACCCCAAACAGATGTCTTCAACTTATAGTCACATGTCACTTCTGATATTTATGGGATATCTGTTTAGTTTATAGCTATTTTTAACCTGTTAGCTATTTTCAGAAAATGATTACCACAACACACACATACACACAAATATTATTCTAGGTCAAGGGCATGGAAGAGTACATAACTTAAGATTAAAGCTATGAATTTACTCTAGGTTGTAAAAGGCTGACTGTGTGGAAAGTCCAAGTCACTTTCCTAAAAGCAAGTTAAACTTAGACAGGCTGAGTGCCCAGTAGGACAGCAGAGTAAGAATCTGACTGTAAATGGTCTCAAGGCACGTTATTAATGTGGTGGTAAGGCCTGCAAAAAGGTTAGTCTCCTTGGCATCGGGAGATACTTTCAGAAAATGTGTCACCTCACTCATCCAACTGTCCCCTCTACATCCCTTGACAAAGAAATACCTAGTCATGCACTGTTGGGCTCTCGGATATCCTCATTTGTAAAATTTGTGTTCAAGCTTTTTTTGTCTGGTTAAAAAATTAAGTTGTCTGTACCATAAATTCTACAGCAAATGTCTGTTTATTTAACACCTAAAGTTACAACCTCAATTTATGGACATTAATTTTAGGGGTCATATCTCAAAAGAGTAAGTCTTCCCTGTTTATACTTAAGATTTACTCATTTTAATGTTTTAGAATGATGTGTTCAATAATTAAATCCATACTGACTTTAATGATAGAAACTGTTGAATCCAACAGTTTTTATTAAAACATAATTTCTATATTTCATAATCCATGGCTAGACAGTATAATATTCCCTTGTTTGAAAGATGTGTGTTAGAGTCTGTCACTCATTGGAGACTCTCCTTAGTGTCTCACAGGGTGAATGTTGCTTCTTTGTAAACTGAGAGATGAAAGAAAGTGTATTTTTAATGGCCTCCCCCCACCTGTAAAAACCTCAAAGTTAGGGCCAGCATCAATGTCCCAAGAGTTGTGAGACTTAGTTTCGTTCAACGCTCATAATAATTTCAAAAATCAGATAATATACTATGTACCGGTTTATTTCTGTCTGTTAAATGTCAGGGGTTAGCCCACCAACCTCACATGCCTTGTTTGGAAAGACTAAAACAGTAGTGTAAGAGCTGAAAGTTTTCGGAAGGATGCATATACCCTGCAGAGCTTTGGCTGCCTCTGTAACCCTCATCCGTGCAACACATCATGCTGCCAGCCTTTGATAAAAACTTGGGAGGAACTTTATCCACCCATTGAAGTGTCCCATTAGCCTCTTCTCATAGAGAGACAATATCTAACCTTTACTAAAAGGACAAGAATTTCTGCTGCTACATTTTTACACAAGGAATGCTTTTCTTGTGGCTATGAAGCCTTTGGGCAGAAGATCTTTTAACTTCTTATTGTGTCAAGTCTTATCCAAAACACTGTGTTCACTTATTTGGCTGCTGAAAGAGTAAGATGGCAGGACCCTTTCTCCTCTCTTGAATGGACATCATCACGGTAGAACAGTCAGTGGCATCATGAAGCATCATTATACATTGATGAATGACTGCATAGACATTTCTCTAACTCAGTGCAGACAGCAGGTGCTGAGCAGTCACATCTCTTTCCTTTCCAGTATCTTGCCTACCTGAAGAAACAAACTCAAGTATATTCGTCAAAGCAAGTAGTAACCGTACAGAACTCAGGTGACCTCTCTTGGCAACTGATAGCTCAGCACTGTAAGTAAAACTCTCCCCAAACAATTTTGTTCTTTTTCAAATCAGTATCATTAATTTGCATAATAATCTATCTTAAATTAAGGTCAATGAAGTTTGAGAACTATACATACATTGGCGGCCACTGCCACCACAGCCAAGTGTACAACATCTTCATGACAGCATCTAACCACAGTTTAAGTCTGAACTGCCCTTCACAGGCTCCTGCTTTGAGTTTGTGGTCCTACTAGAAGGGATGTAGCACCTCTGGGAGGTGAAACCCCGGATGATGAAAGTAGGTCCTTAGGACCAGGGCTGTATAGGTTGTAGCTATCCCTGATTCCGTCCTGTGTTCTCTGCTTCCCGAGCTACCTCTCTACCACACAATCCCATCACCACAGACAGCTGCTGCATTGCATCACAGCAAACCAAGAGCCACTGAAGCTGTAGGTTTACATTGCCCCCTTCCTTAAGTTCCTTTTGTCAGGTATTCACTGCCACCTGCCCCTTTCCAGTTGATCTTACATCCCCCCCTCCAGTCTCTGGAAGCCACCCAGATGACTCCTAACACTAATAATTAAACAAAAAGAAGTGTCACGGAGTGTAAACTTCCCCTCCTGGCTTCTCTGATCCTACAAAACGGATTTTTATGATTCCTTCATGAATCCAGGTGTGGATGCTGACACCTATAATCCCAGCACTTAGAAGGCCAAAACAGAGAGTGTAGTGTGAGTTAAAACACCACTCTGGATTACAGAGTAAGTTCTATGTCAGACTGTAGAGTTGTAACCTGTCTGACAGCAACATCAAACACACACACACACACACACACACACACGCTTTCTTGAGCCCCAGGCTGCCTCCCCTCTGGCGCAGTGCAGCTGTATGGGCTACACACATCATCTGCTCAGCAGCCGAACAAGGACATTTGCCTTGTTCTTCACGTGTCAGAAGTAAAGCAACTAGGGACATTCATTTGGAAGCATTTTTGTGGATTTTTAAAAATGATTTCTTAGGCATTTCTTAGAAATGAGATGGCTGGGCTGCATGGTCAGTGTCTGAGTACCTTTTAAGAAACAGCTAGTTTGCCATTGCTGTTCAAATTTCTCATCCAACTAGTGATGTGGAAGTTATCCTGCTGCTCTAGATCCTCACCAACACTTGAAAAACTGAGGCCATTAAAAGCATTGACATTTAGCCATTTGCATAAGTGTAGGATGGAATGGTAGTATGGTTTTGGTCTGCCTTTCTCTGCCATGGCCATCAGTTCATGTGGTTCTCAACTGTCTCAAAATCATCTTTTTTGAACCGTCTTGAACCAGTGAAGTATTTTGGTATAATATCTCAAAGTGGGGCTGGATAGACGGTTGAATAGCTATGAGCATTTGCCACTCTTTCAGAGGACTGGAGTTAAGTTTCTAGCACCCATATCAGGAAGTTTGAAGCTGCCTGTAACTCCAGCTTTAAGAGATCTGATACATTCTCTTGGCTCCCTTGGGTGTCCATACATGTGACTTTTGCTTATACATAATACATACATACATACATGCATACATACATACATACATACATACATACACATACATAAAAATTAGATAGATAGATAGATAGATAGATAGATAGATAGATAGATAGATAG